CCCCCCCCACAGGATGAAAAGTTTTCCCGTACATTGACTAAATGAGTCGCGTGATCTCTTAAATATCGTTCAACTGAAGCCATTGATATACCTACCGCATTCCTTCATGGACGGATGTGGTCGAATCTTTCCTTGGCGATTCGCCACTTTTACAATTCGTCTTAATATTTATAAACTGGTTTCTTTGAGCCCTACTGCTACAAAAACGGCCGCCCCGAGCAATTTCCTCAATCAGAGGTAAATGCAAGATCGCATTAACCCTCTAGTAGGCTGAACCGCCTCCAGACGGTCGTTAACTAAACACCTTTTTAGTGCACCTATAATAATTTTTTTCTATATTCGTAAGGCACGATCTTTAGACAAAAATCGTACCCTTACGGCGAAGTTAATTTGAATCCGTTATGTCAATCCGTTTTATTTTAATCGGCAGTTGAATTACAGATTGTGAAAGACACGGTTAAAATTAATTATTTCTTGCTATTTAGTAATTTCGTAATTAAAGAATTTTTTTCTTTTGAAAAATTTTTTGATATACAAAATTTTGGTGGATTTCGTAGTTAAAAGCACCGTATTTTAATATAGGTTTTATAATTATATCACTATTCGAAATGGAGAAAATTGCTTTCGAACACAGACCGTCTACAGACCGGATTGCCGACACATAAAAACCCAGTTTGCATTTTTGACCGTCTGCAGACGGGATTGCCGGTTCGTAGGTTAACATTGTGTAAGAGAAAGCTGAGAACATGTCAAAGTATATCGGCGAGCCGGTCTCCAGACGGTCTTGGTTTTTCTCCCTTGTAGAAAAAAGTTACGGTCACAGATCGAAATGGACATCATTTTTGGATTTGTCGTGCTAAAATCACCCATTCCTGATTTTTTCAACTCATAAAAAAATTGGCCTACTAGAGGGTTAAGGGTGTATGAGGGCATCAGACAAAGGTGCGCTTACACAATGTTGCGGTCTTTACATGCATACTTAAACGAATCCTCCATTTAGCCCTATAAAAAGTAAATTGGTCTAAGATGAATATAGGGCCAAAGCAGATCAAACCCCGTGTAGGTTTCTATATATTTCGGCTGCAGCGCAATCCATTAGGTCCCTTTTCTGCAAACCCACTGAATTTCAATCAGATTTTATAAAATATAGCGGGTTCATTTTTAGGAAACCAATTTTTCATCATACAGGTAGCACACGTTTTGAATTTGAACGAAATCGGTTCATAAATATGACTTTTATAAATAACTCGACCCCAGCGCCACCTAGCGAGTTTTCTGGTAGCCTATAATAGGACCATATATGCAAGGTATAACCTCTGAAAATTTGACTGAAATCTATGCAGTAGTTTCTGAGTTAACTCCGAGCAACGAAAACGGCTATTGTTTTATATATATAGACTACCTACGCGAAGCTTATTGTAGAAAAGGGAGTTCGCTCAGACGCCTCACTAGTGACGTACTGACCAACACCTCTACAGGAAATCAAATAATCACATGATCAGTGCATGTAACGGCAGGTAGAAAGGGTGTGGACACGTAGGCAGGGCCACATGTTTGCAAACTTATTGATTTCTTGTTACCAGCAATAAGAGTAGATTTAATACTTCTAGTAGCACTGCGAGGCCATCCAATGAGCCTTACTTCTAGAAGCACTGCGAGGCCATCCACTGAGTCTTACTACAAGGTACTTCTTAGCCTGTACCTGAGTAGAGAAACACCTGGAATGTTGCCTGGACACCCCGGCCCTATGTGCTTGAAAATATGTACTTTGTATGATTTCACGGACATAAATCTGTGCACTTGGTGTAGGCTGTTTAAAAGCATAAACAGACAGCAGCGTTGATCCGGATTAACTCGGACTTAATCTGGATCAACTGCAGTTAATTCCCGAGTTGATCCGGATCAACTCGGGAATTAACTGCAGTTGATCCAGATTAAGTCCGAGTTAATCCGGATCAACGCTGCCTACTGTTTAAGCTTTTAGACTGCATTACTCTCATTTAAAAGTTAAAATACAAATACAAAACTTCAGCTATCCTCCCTTTTCTCTTTCTTCCAGCATAGAGCCGAGATAAAAACACAATATCAGGTAAGAGTTGGGGTTAACGCGCTGGTCTCACGTCGTGGATATACAAGTCATCGATCCTCCTGAGAATTGCTTGCAACCCGTTGGTTTTTTGGAAAGCCGTCGAGGTAAAATGTTTTAGTACAGTAGTAAATTTACAGTAGTGAAATTAAGTCTCTGTCATTACTGGGATGATCAAGTCATATCCTACGAAGACCTTGATTGTTAGTTGGCACTGATAAATCCTTTTTGCTTCACTGGGTGCCTTGACTATTAGAGAACTGGGATTATGTATAGAGAGTCTTTATAGGTATGGTGCTTCTACACATCTTCATGATACAGGATTAAAAAAAATCTGAGTACGTTTGCACTATGATCATCGTGGGCCAAACATTCGACACCAAATTTATTCAGGAATCATTTTGAAGCATATATTTTATTGTAAAAAGTGCTGGAAACGAATCCGTATATATTATATATATTATATATATATTATATATGTATATTTAGCAGGCGTTTGGCGGCTGGGAGTGTTCTCCACGGAACCCAGAACCTATGTACATCATTACCTCTGGATACCCGTTGGCATCTGATGGGTATAAAGATGCGAAAAGGATAGACTGGCTGCATGATAGCTGACCGATTCTTCTATCCATCTGCATGCAGTAGCTATCTTCTCTGATAGCCAGTCATGGAGTGCAAACATACCCTAAATGTGGTGACAGGTAGATACTAGGGATGCCAAAATATTAGGAAAATTGTGATCCCGGGATTTCAGGATATTTATTCAGTAATCTCGGGATTCACATTGAGTCATAATTTTTATGAATATGGGTAAAAATTCAATATCTGAAAGCATTTAAAATTTACGATAAATTGATTGTAAAATTTACATATTTATTAAATCAGACAAATCTAAAAGAAATATATTTTTTAAATTGTATTGAAAAAAACCGTGTGATTGAGGAACGCATACATCACAAATAACAATGTAAATACCAGGTACTTTTGAAAGTAATGATTAATAAAAAATATATACAAAAACAAATTCTTTAAATATGTTTATTCTACTCCATACACAAATGACGATTTTTTGCCATTTCTTTCGCAATTAACTCGAAATTTTGAGGGTGAACGAGTCAAACGGACATCAGATTCCGATTCACAGAGTCGAAGTACATGTCGGTAGGTTGGTCTTGTTAGAAGCACACACCCCATTTTTTGTGCAGGTGTTGTTATTATTGCACTTGAAATGTGTACGTAAGAGCAGCAAAGTATTTAAAGGGGAGTCTTCTAATCTTGGCCTGAACTTGTTACATACAAAACCTGCTGATGAAAAACATCTTTAGGCTCAACTATAAAGCCATTTGAAGTTAGTGACTCCTATCTCCTCATCTACCAAATATTTGAACTTCTTTTACCAGCACGTCGAATAAATTAAAACTTTTTCGATTTGAGTAGATTGATTTAAAAAATTATGGAACTTTTTCTTAAAACTCTCAGTTTCGTTTACATTAGAGACGTTGTGAGTACATTCATTTAAATCTAAAAAAGGTTGCAATTTAAAAGAACAGTTTCAAGCTTTTTGTTAATTGCAGTCAGGACGGCATTTTCCAAAAATCATACTTCAAAATTCATAAAAAAGTTCTGACTATCAATGCAATAATTAAACTTTTACTGGACCTAAAAAACACCGGGCTCCCGGGATTGGCATCCCCAGTAGGTAGGTCCCACACATATGCACATACATAATACAGAAGCCAAGCCACAAATATGTATATGCATACACATTTATAAGGCAACTTACAGCATGTGAGATGAATAGCGGGTCATCAGTGCCGCTCTGTACGCGGGTATTCTGTAATAATCTTGCGAATTCAGGCTGGAAAATAACCTTAACGACCATCCGAATAGAGGATGATTTACAATGCTTACAACACGTCTGGCTGAAGCGGTCACTGCTTCGACATGCAATCAGGGTTATTAAAGGCCATTGTTGATGGGAACACACGCCTACCGAATGGGTCTGGAGTAGAATGACCTCTGTTGCGGCAATGCACTGTGGGCCAGGAAGAGTCAAAACTAGCTAAATTAAAAATCTTATCGGATTGGCTTAAAACTTGCTCGCTGGCGTTTTCGGGGTCGCTGATTACGAACCTGATATTAAATTTAAAAAATTCAAAATTGCGGATCGAATATGGCGGTCAGTTTATTTTAATTTGTTAAAATTAGTTGAAATTTGTTTCGTGGATATTTTTGGAGTTAAAATTCTAAATTTTTGAGATTGATGATTACGAATCGGATGCTATATTCAAAATGGCGTACTCAGTGTGGAGCCAGAAAAATATAAATCCATTTAATTTGAAAAAGATCAACTGCGATCATATGCTCAAAAGTTTAATTTTCAGATTCTTAAAAAATCTTCCGCCATTTTGAATATTAAAATTCTGATGGTACATTCGTGATCAGCGACCCTAAAAACTTTAGAATCCGTCTTTACTTAATAACTGACAACTGTTTTAATAAAATGGATGCCAAATTTATTTGCGCGTTTACAGACATCTCGTTTTTTATAAGAGTCGCAGCATTTACGTAATACTGAATTTTCGGTTCTACCACGCTTATTTGATGTATTATAAATTTAGTAGTCTTTTGACATACTTTACGTTAATTTCTATCCCATAGAATACATACAGTTGAAACTTCGTCTCACTGATAAATGATTCTGGCATTTTAAACTCTCTCTATCTGGCCCTCTGTGCAATGTAGAGGAAAACATTATCTATGTATGCTACTTCCCCGCTTTTAGCTCAACTTGCCAATTTAATGTTAGTGCTGTATTGAATATTCTTCGGTAAGAGGTTGAGCGAGAATTGGTATTAAAATTACTAAAATATTATGACAGAGTTGGAGGTTTAAATTAAAGACCGTGAGAAGAATGTGCATGAGCTCATTATTTTCTTAGCGGTATTTTCAAAGCTAATAGGAATTTGCGAGTAGTGAATATTATAATATAATATAATATTATTATAAGTGGTGTTCAAAAAGTGTTCACGACCAACTATAATTAAGAGAAATGTGTTTGCTCTTATTCCCACCATTATTGTTATCTCTTGTTTGCATTGTGCAGAGTAAAATGAAAAAAAGATATTAAAATAACAATGTTAACGCGCGAGAATTCTTGCTCCCGCACAGCATGTTCCCCGGACACATACTGTTTATCTTCTTTGCCAGTTGAAGTTACAGTTGAATTTCGGTCCAGACCATCGGTTACCATAGCATCACGCACCAAACTCTGTACTAAGGTTCGATCGCAAAAGTATGGTTCAGCTTTGCGAGATCCTTGAACATTATTTAGATGTTGGGCAAAATGGCCGACAGGTGTAGCACCATGCATGGCGTGGTGTGGTTGCGGTGGTTTTGGGCGCACCTGCAGAGAAAAAGAAATTTGGTGGTTAAAAACAAAAGTTTGGTGTGTTTAATAATGAAATGTTTTTGATTGAGTTTCAGAGGTTCGTTGCGCTTTCTTCGAACAAATGGCCTTATTATTCAACTTGCTTACCGACATCCACTTCCAGCCTGGCCGACCTGCACGACCCAAGAAATGTAACACCTGCTCTTCGGGTGAGCCAAAACTTAATTCTTGTTCCCGAGAGGCTGACAGATATTCGCCCGAGCTTTCACGCTCTTTCTCTAAATCACTAACACTGTTGTACTCACAATACACCCAATCGGGGTGTACGCGCCAATTATCTCCTTTGAAGTATTCGGTCACTGTGCGAAAAGATGAAGATATATGAATATTATTGCCACGATTTTTATGATATCGAACTCCTTTACCATTTCGGCGGGAGTGCCGTATTTCTTGTTGGGAGACTAATTCATGGCTTCCATATTTTTCAGGGAGTACAACAGCTAAAGTGAATGGCGTGTCTTCAATAGGTCCATAAAAATACCTGCAATGTGTAGATTGAACATTAGTCTAATTTGTCTTGGTGATCTAAAGTAGATAGATTTGGTAAATAACCTTTACCTTTGCGTACGCGCCGTTACACGTTTCATACCATCAAAGTGGTTGAATACAGTGAATTCGGTTTCACCTTCTTTGGGCATAAGCATGTCATTGCGCATCTGTAGACGTATAAAAGTCGTTTTAAATCTCACCGCTTATTAAAATGAGTTCAGCGTTTTCTCTCTCTACTTACATCATACAGCAGATTCTTATTCATTTCGACAATTTCATGCTCATTGCCCACTTCGGTTTCCGGCAGTTCCAACTCCGTTATGTCGACCGACGTGTACCGCGGCCGCAACTGATCAATATATTGATTACCATCACTCATAGGACGCAAATCTGGATGATACAGTACACGTCCATTGTTATCAACGATAAACGAATATCCATTCGGCCCCAATTTATGTTGCGGTATCATTTTTCGTATCTCCTCGATGGGCACATCGGTGCCTACAACACCGAGTAAATTAGCCACACGCACCGAATGGTTTCGTCTATAGAAGACCGGAGTTGAAACTGTCGTCACCAGCCGTCGCTGGTAGTCGGAGTCACGTGCCAAACCACCTGTCTTGCCGGCGACGAAAACTGGACTCCAATGTACTGGATGATCGGCCTGATACATAATCATGGGCCGTGCCATAACTAGTGCATAATCGATAACTTTCTTGCGAGCATCCTCCATATCATTGATTTGCACAAAGAATCCTTTGTTGGAGCAGGCCATTTCATGCAAGTTGCTGCGACTACTCGAATCGGAACCGATCAGATATGTAAAAATTCGTACGGGCATATGAGGCCAATTATATTGCTTGATTATGTCGCTATGGGTTTCAGATGTACTCTCGGTGATGAGCATAATGGCTTGATTACATTGACTGCCTTCGCCCGACTGGTTGTACTGGAGGGAAAAGAAAATATAGTCAAATGTTTAATGTGATGAATACTAAATGAATTTTGAAGTCGAGCCTAGTAAATGTGTCGCAATTTTAAGAAAGGATAATACCAAAAATTTTTCATAAAATAGATATGTATGTGGGCGGTTTTAAAAAGGAACCTAGAGGTAAACCGATATAAAGCATAAAACTGTAACTAAAAGAACAACTCAGTCAAACAGTGTTTGAACTACAGTGTTGTTCCAACTAAATTCTAGATGTAAGTATGTATATACCAGGGGTGGGCAAGGCCGAGGCCGAAAAGAGCCACATGTAAATTCTAAAAGCTACAAAGAGTCACAAAAAAATACAACAAAAACAAAAATTTTATTTTTAAATAAAATTATTATTAGAAACGAAAAACATTAATTTTACTATTATTCTAATGTACGTAAGATTGATTTTAAAGCAACTTCAAAAGATCCCTTTGGCCAAATTTTCTGAATCTGGTTTTACGTCAGTTAAAGCCGTTTGTAACAGTTCTGTTAAATGTTGGTTAGTCAATAGGTACGTTCGTTTAAAATCTCCAGTAAAAAATGTCCAACACCGAAATTCCGGCGAAATGTCATCTGTTCTCTCACAGGAATAAATATCCAAAATAGTACGCGAACAGAAAATTTGCAGAAACTTGCAAGTTAGACGAACAGCTGATATAAATTTTGTTTACATTCAAAATTATAAAATTGAAAACGTAATAAAACAAATCCCGAAGTCTTATCCTGAAACAGTTCACTGACTAAACGAATAACTACTTACTTCTTACAAGTTTAATTAGTGGCACTTTACTATTTTAACTTCCAAACCAACAAATTCAATTTAGGGATTTGCGTAAATTTCAACCAGCTGTTTTTGATCAGCTGTTTCCTTGTTGGCAAATTGCTGTTGGCAAAAATTATTCCAGCAGAAACTAGCGGCTTTCCCTCAAAATTAAATGTCATTTTGCTCTCTCGATTTCCCCTACTTTGCAAGTTTTTTGGGTATACGAACACAAAAAGCTTATAGTTTTTATAACTTTTAATAATTATAAGGTGCGCGAATGCAACTGACGTGAACGGTATTCTGACTTTACGAATTTCACTGTAGAATACAAAGACTCACAGTTATACGTTGTAACAAAAAATTTAAAATAGCTCTGATCCAGTACTCCATGAACTTACAGGATTTTACACGAACTTGCAGGAAGTTGCAGAAAAAATGTTCCCGTACTCCAAAATCCTCCAAAATTCTGTAAATGAGAGCGACTTTTGGAGAGTTGTGTAGAGAATGAAGTTGCAAGATTTTACCCGAACTTTTTCTTCTGGTAAAATCATGAAAAGTGTCAAGCAATCACTGGTTGACGTTTTAACAGGAATGATGGATTTTTTGTTCCCGTACTTTTTGTTTTTACTCACTGTTTACTCTCACTTCAGAGAGTAATTTTGCTGTTTGACAGTTTTACAGGATTTTTCACGAAATGTATTGGATCAGAGCTAATGTGCGTCACGCAGCTGTTTTCACCAGCGGATATTTTAAATCTGGTAATTGTTGCCGGAATCCAAGCAATGGCAAAGCTTTATGTTGCATTTCCTGTGCCTTATCTTCTTTTAATTCCAAAAACTCCAAATTTTCTTCGATTTTCTTAGAAAGGAGTTTTTCGGATATTACAAATTCATCCTCAATTATGTTACATAAAAAAGGTTTTATGAAGTATTCAAACGTAGATTTAAATAACTTCAAATCGGCAAATCTTTTTTCAAAATCTGCTTTTAAATCATGTGCAATATTTTTTTCTTGCCATGGAAAATGATGAGATATTCTACTAGATATTGCCTTTACTAACTGGGCAGATAAATTGTTCCTCACTTTACGGCAACGACAAAGTGAAACTTCACTCCATTCATCATAAAATTTCAAAGGTTGGCAATGTAACACAAGCAAATAAAGAGCAAGAGCATATGTGTAATGTGTAAGCATTCCGAAATCAAAGCGAGACAGCCCCTCCAGAACTGCTGGGGTCAATCGGTACGTTTGAACAGCTACTGCACCGACTCCTAGGTAAGTAGCTACTCTATTAACCCGTGGTAGTGCACATGGTAGTGCAGAGTCGAACCAGTCGTAAGCAGGATAGGGAAAAACTACAACAGAGGGCGCCCATAAATTACGCAAGTGACTACTTTAGTAACTCCCGGTAGTGCAGACAGAGCCGATGATGACTACCGCTTAGGACATTTTTTTGTGAAAGTAATTGATGAAATACACTTCAAGTAGTCGGTCGGTAATTGACGGAGTTTATCAGGTAGCTACCGATTCTTTTTTTATTTATTCGTTATATTGCGAAATTCCGTTTACTGATAGAAACACAAAATAATAAACAGAACTTTTGCAACGATTCGTATGAATAAAAAGGATTTTCCGTTCGTTTCAAAGGCAGTTAAAAAATGCGTAAACCACTACCGACGTTGGAACGCGCCGCCTATAAACCTGGGCCCGTTCATCGTTGCATGCTTATCTTTTTATCAACATAAGTATCTTATAAATGATTGGTACTTTATGAATGGAACATTTTTTAATTAAATACGTTTCCTAATTTTGTTATTTAATTACAGCGTTGATTTTTTTTTATATTTTTACAATTACATATTCTGAGTGGCTTGAAAAAATCTTACATTCTAAACAATTTGAAGCTGAGGGTTTGTAGTAATGAAACTGGTGTGTCCACTTGATGGTTTTGGCTCTAGGAAAACGTTTCGCCAACACCTTCTCATATTTTTTATATTCAGCTAAAGTACAAAATCAAAATCAGTCGAACAATATTGGGTCGAAAGAATAGTTTTGTCCTGTAGACTAGCGCAGTATGCATTTTTTAACGCAGCCATCAATGCCATCGCTTCTTTTCCGTGGGCAGTGACACTGATATACGCGATTCTCGATTGTTTAACGGACGCGTACTAGAGGTGTACAATATCAGAAATGCAGTAATGAATCAAATTCACTTGACAGTAAAAAAAAGTGAAATCAATGCTTGCCCGCTATCAAAACAAACACTGTAGTGTCGCTGCTAACTATAATTCCTGCAATGACAGTATTTGTTTGCTTACTGCAAATACTGATTTACACTAAAGAGAGCAAAGTAACGGGGCAGCACAGCGAGTGCAGTAAAACAGTTGGGTGTGAAGTGAACGGCAGCAGTGTGTTCCATGTTAGTCATTTTGTGTTAATACGCCGTGATATTAGTATCAACTATTATTTTATAAACAGCATTTCAAATCATTTATGCACACCTCTAGTCTGTACTCAAGATTCTCAGAATTTAGGAGCCTCATGATTTCGAAAATAAATTTAGGCACTGAGATTTCAATAATTATTAATATAAAGAATTAATCGTAAGAATTATTAACATATGTAATAATAATATACCTATATGCTTTTTAAAACGTAAGCATGCAACGACGAACGGGTCCAGGTTTATGGGCGCTGCGTTCGAACGTCGCTAGTGGTTTCGCGTATCCACGATAATGTTTAAACATTCGTACTTTTTTGCCTTCCTTTTCTTAGCTCGGGATGTAACTATGTAATATTGATGCGCCTAAAAGATGCAGCGATTTGTATTCTCAAGTTACATACCTGATTACAGTACGAATATACGAAATAGTTTTTTAAACTATAATTTTGTTATGGGATAGAGTGCACTAAAATATTTTTGCACGAATTGTCAGTGTATACTTTACAGATAAGATCGTAAAATTTTTCAGTTAAATTGTCAATTGTTTATTGGTAAATTTATTATTATTTAATAATACTAAAAAATAAAATTTTTTCAATATGAATATCTTTTTTGTTTCTGCTACTTTTTCTGAATACACCATTAAAATTTGGTTATTTTTCATTGAATATTTACGGAAATATAGCAAGGAATATATAAAATTGATAAAAAGAAGGTCAAAAATTCATTTATGAATAAATTTTTGAAAAATTGAAATTTTCAAAAAAATATTTTAAGACATTAATTTTCACATATAGATCTTTGAATATCTGCCAAAACATATTTGAAATTCTAAAACTTCATTTTAGTGGCCCGTTTCAGAAAGTTTGACTCATATGATTTTCACCTTTCCGATAAAAGGAAGGCAAAAAAGTACGAATGTTTAAACATTATCGTGGATACGCGAAACCACTAGCGACGTTCGAACGCAGCGCCCATAAACCTGGACCCGTTCGTCGTTGCATGCTTACGTTTTAAAAAGCAATAGGTATATTATTATTACATATGTTAATAATTCTTACGATTAATTCTTTATATTAATAATTATTGAAATCTCAGTGCCTAAATTTATTTTCGAAATCATGAGGCTCCTAAATTCTGAGAATCTTGAGTACAGACTAGAGGTGTGCATAAATGATTTGAAATGCTGTTTATAAAATAATAGTTGATACTAATATCACGGCGTATTAACACAAAATGACTAACATGGAACACACTGCTGCCGTTCACTTCACACCCAACTGTTTTACTGCACTCGCTGTGCTGCCCCGTTACTTTGCTCTCTTTAGTGTAAATCAGTATTTGCAGTAAGCAAACAAATACTGTCATTGCAGGAATTATAGTTAGCAGCGACACTACAGTGTTTGTTTTGATGGCGGGCAAGCATTGATTTCACTTTTTTTTACTGTCAAGTGAATTTGATTCATTACTGCATTTCTGATATTGTACACCTCTAGTACGCGTCCGTTAAACAATCGAGAATCGCG